TAAAGGCGTAAAAAATCTCATTTATAGAGCAAATATTTTATTGCACAAGCTTCATGGATCAACTATGTATACTGTGTTACTATGCTGTAAAATTAAATAATGGTTTGGCATATAAAAAGTAGATAACAGTTGTCATTATTTCCCCCCAACAATGTCCCAAAGTGAAACCCCACCTATTGCTTTACGGTCAGAACTGTATCGTGTTTCTTTCACCTACAAGCAAGTCCACACATTCAGTCCTCAGGTCCAAACACACAGAGCCATACTGTCCTCCTACCTTGCATTGACTTTATTGAGGCCATATAAATCGAACAAGCTCACCTTGTACAGCAGAGCATAAAGGGAGGTGATTATGGCCAGAACTCTGCTTTATTAGGACCTCTGTTTACACTCTCTGTTATTGAACATATAAATAAAGCTTTGGGTTCTGGTGCCACTTTTACTGCTCCCTTAATGCTCCCAGTTGCTCTTATAACATTCGAGCAACAAAAGCCACTTTACGCGTTGCTCATACARTCTTCCAGCTATACCAAATGTCTCCGCTGAACATGTGGAAAAGAAATGAGCTCCGAACAGTTTCCACTAATATTATTCCATTTACAAGCAGGAATTAAACCACACAGCGTACCACATTAACAAAATAGTTATTCGCTTGCAGACTTTGAAGTGAAGAACCCAAAAGGCTGAGCGGTTGTGAATCTCATCATCAAGGTTTATTGAAAAAGGGACGTTGCTGTTCCAACCGTCTCCCTCATTAATCAGCTCGACCACAATGCGGAGCTGACCGTTCTGTCGAAAACATGTTTCTCCTCTCAACATTTTGTTTATCCGTTTTAGACTTTTTCTCACAGCCGGTTGCGCGCTCCCTTACTCAGCATGGCCGCCTCCCTCAGATGGTGTGGTTTTCTGGGMCTAATGAGGCGAGAACACAGCTCCCGTTGGTGTGTGTGTGCCGTCCCCGTCCTCGCCGGAGCCTGCTTCTCATCATCAGGCTGGGCGAGGACTGCTGAGCTGGTCACCTCTTGCTCCCCCGCTATCAGCCCAAATGGCTTTGCGATGAACTCCCATCGCGGTGGGTTCCTCGTGAGAATAAGCAGAGCTCAGCTGGGGAGCTGTTGATCCTGACCTGGGTTTTTAATTCTGGATTATAAGCAGACTCAGCAATTTAGCGGGATGAGTCATGTGAAGGAGGACACAAGCAACGTGAGCCTCGAGGAACCTTCAATCTGCTGGCAGTAATAATCTACAATGACTGTTTTCCCTTCAGTGGGAGTTTTATGTTTATATGCACTGAAAATGTGATTAGAAATTAAGATGGAAAAAAGCTCCAAACATGGCATTAATTCTACTTATAAAATAACGTTGCACAAATGAGCTGACTCACCCTCCGACTTAATTTGTTTCCCTGCTATTTGGAAACGCTCGATGGAGCGTCGCCGGGAAAAAAACCACACAAAAACAAGCAAACATTTGATTTAGGATGTTTTCAGAGAAACAAATGRCACTAAAAACACCCTGCTGCTTTTTTTGAGACACCCTTGCAACAACAACAACAAAAAAAGAACCTTCCCGCTGTAGGAAGCTGATTACTTCAGAAACCCTGTTTTGCGGCGTACCCATCTCCAGAGGCTCACCACTGTGTGTCTGCTCATGATTTGTACAATTTAAGAGCTTCTGCTCCAGTTAAAAGTTTGCGTTGGGTCGAGGCTGCCTCGGCTTTACATTCTATAGTTGCTTTGGGATGGATTTTGGGGTGAATACACTCAGAAATGAGTGGCGACACAGCAGAGCTCAGCGTATTGTAGCCATTCTAATGCTCAGTTAACACCCTGTCAGAACAGTAAGAGAAGCGATAAAAGCGAGCTGGGGAACAATGCCCTTCAGCTATGCCTAATCCCCACGCTGCATCCTGGAAACAACCAGTGTTAGAAGATATCACAGCAGTGGCAACCCTTTATTTCTGCTTAACACTTTCCCTTCCTTCACTACGGAGATGTGCTCAGCTTGCTTAGTTAACTTAATTGCATTAGCTGTTTGCTTATTGTTCTGAAGCATCAGTGTTTATTTTCTCTAAATCTTTTCCCAGAGCTGAGAACTTTAAATATCATGATAGACTTGATTTTTTTTTTGGACTTGATTATCATGGGGCTATCTTCCAGTGTTATAATATTAAAACTATCTTTGGCTACGTTCATAGAGCAGGCAAATGCAACCAAATTATATTTTTTCCTGACGTCTTCTCCTGTGCGAGTGCCTCTGGGGGCTCTGCGTTCGGGGTCCCTCTCGGGGCCTTGGGCTCTGGTCTCCCCTGTGTCTGCCTCGGGTCTTGGGGGTTGGATCTTTGGTCCGTAGTCACTATTAAATATTCCATTGGAAAAATCTTGTATTCATGCATGCTCACAACCGCTCACAAACAGGTGTTCAGATCCAGGGGGTTCTGACTGGTCACTGTGT